CCTTTTTTTAAAGGGGTCATATGATGTTGCTAAAAGGAACATTATTTTGTGTATTTGGTGTAATGAAATGTGTTTATGCGGTTTAAGGTTCAAAAAGCACATTATTTTCCACATACTGTACGTTATTGTTTCTCCTCTATGCCCCGCCTTTTTGAAACGCGTCGATTTTTACAAAGCTCATCGGTCTGAAAAGCGAGGTGCGCTCCGATTGGCCAGCTATCCAGTGCGTTGTGATTGGCCGAATACTTCAAGCGTTTGACTGAAATGTTACGCCCCTTACCATACTGTGATGCCGTGTCCGATCGGAACGATGAAACAAAAACATTAAAACCCATTATAAACGAGGCATTTGTTGCATCCAGTGGGGACATAATTACAGATTATAATGACTTATACTGTCTTTTTATGCGTTGCATTGCGCCGCGTAAACATAAAACCATGTCTGCATTTGTGATCGGAGAAATGACAAACAACAAGTGCTACACTACACTGCCCAAAACTCTCGCGTTTGAATCGTCAGTGGCAAATTCTTTAAATATAAAAAAAATGTACTTACAGTCTGTGAGTCAGAACAGCAGGCATTGTAGTCTACTCTCCCAGGATCAGGAAACAGTCCTCCATAAAATGCAGGCTAGAGTGAGCAGAGGCCGGTGGGCTTGAGAACGGCGCGGCCGGCGGATTCGACGAAGGAGCGGCCGGCGGGCTTGCGGCAACCACATGTGACGACCCGGGCTGGACTCTGCTTCGTCCACGGTGAAAGCCGATCCGGCGATTGACAGCGCAAAGTTGATGTATTTCCTCAGCGACCAGCACGGATCAGCTCTAGGCATGACGAAGCGGATATCGTCCTCTTTTGGAAGGCCAAACAAAGTAGTTTCGCTTTCACAACGAAACACACAGCGTCTTCACGACATGGCGGCAGCGGCAACAACAAAACTACAGCGAGAATAAAGTTAGGTCTTCTTTCTTTGCGTGAACATTTGGGCGGCGTTATGCAAATCTTCCCACATCATGACGTAGACATGTGGGGGCGTGTTAGAACGAGCCGTTTTAGGTAGGCGTGGTTGACTCTTAACTTTTATAAAGAATATCTCTTTGGATTTGAGACTTTAGTCTTTGCAACTTTACAGATCTTCTTTATGCACAAAGAGCTTGTAACACTCCAAAGAGAAAGGAAAAATTGAAATCGCATCATATGACCCCTTTAAACCGTGTATACAATATAATTATGTTTAAATAAGCTGAGATATAGCACTATAAATTCTTAATTCATTTGCAACAAAACTATAAAGTTTTGTTGCAAACGGATGAAGACATTATAGTACTATATCTCAGCTTGCCCCTCAACATGCACGCGTTCAGAGTTTTGGAAGCCCAACACTGAATACATTGCGGACGTTGTATTTTGATTAATAAAATAAAAATTACAATACAAAAATGAAATTTAAATTTACCCTGCTTCTAAGTAAATAAAGCAGTTATTTTTATTTAGTTAAAAACGGGCCAAAAGAGACCTCCGAACTCTGAACTCCGGCTACCAGAAAGGGAAAAAAAAGAACGTTTTTTCTCAGAATTTGTTTTTAATCCCTGCATGATTTATACATGATAAATATCAAATGCGTTATAGCTTGACTACAAGTTTAAAAACAACGCTGCAATTGTTATAATTAAGGAAATTAAACTTACCATTATGAAATGTCTCTACACAGGCAATAATGCCAAAAAGAAAGAGAAACATCGGAAAATAGGCATATTTTATTCAAGACATTATTATATGACATCAACATGCATTTATCATTCTTACAATCACCGCCAGAATGTCCAACTTCACCATCATGAACAGTTCTCCTCACAAAACGAAATTCATTTTAAACACAAATTTGATAAGAACAGAGTGGAAATTATTAGCAACACCAAAATAACAGCAAAGCTAATGTTTTGTTAGTTTAAGCTCAAAGAAAAGTAAAACCAAACTTTGTGGCAATAATTAAGATCAAACTGAACATGATGTGTGTTTAAGGTGCATGTCGGCAATGTTGCGGGGGCGGGGCGTGGTGGAGGTGGGGCTTACGTAGCCGATATTATCGGATATCGCGATATTTTTAAAGGCGATTATCGATAAGATATTTTTGACCTATTGCCCAGCCCTATTCCAGTCAGAACATTAGTTCAGCACAGACCATCAGCCTAATTACGGATACGCCTCATTTTACATTTCAAGGGTGAATAAAACATTACCTTTAAAATATATTTTGTGATGAAAAGAGTTCAAGGTTTTAAAAAGCACAGCACAGGATTTGCAAACCCCTAAACCAAATTGTTACTCTGTGTTATGAATGATACCGCAAATATTTACTTTTAAATATATAGACTACTCTTCAAAAGTTTTTTTTAATGTTTTTGACAGAAGTCTCTTATGCTCACAAATGCAGCATTTGTTTGATTAAAAATACAGTAAAAATAGTAATACTGCAAAATATTAGTATAATTTAAAACAGTTGATTTCTATTTTAATAAATTTTAAAATGCAATTTATACCTGTGATGGTAAAGCTGAATTTTCAGCATCATCACACCAGTCTTCAGTGTCACATGATCCTTCAGAAATCATTCTAATATGCTGATTTGCTGCTCAAGAAGCATTTCTGAAAACAGTTGTGCTGATTAATATGTTTTGTAAACCAGTTTTGCATTTGGATTTTTCAGGATTTCTTGCTGAGTTGAAAGCTCAAAAGAACAGCATTTATTTGAAATAAAAATATTTTTCAAAATGTTGCTAGGCACAAGGCACGGCGTATGTGTTCAACGTCATCACGTCGGATCTGGGTCTGATCTGATTTCAGTTTTCTGACAGTTTTTTTTAATGTTTTTGACAGAAGTCTCTTATGCTCACAAATGCAGCATTTGTTTGATTAAAAATACAGTAAAAATAGTAATACTGCAAAATATTAGTATAATTTAAAACAGTTGATTTCTATTTTAATAAATTTTAAAATGCAATTTATACCTGTGATGGTAAAGCTGAATTTTCAGCATCATCACACCAGTCTTCAGTGTCACATGATCCTTCAGAAATCATTCTAATATGCTGATTTGCTGCTCAAGAAGCATTTCTGAAAACAGTTGTGCTGATTAATATGTTTTGTAAACCAGTTTTGCATTTGGATTTTTCAGGATTTCTTGCTGAGTTGAAAGCTCAAAAGAACAGCATTTATTTGAAATAAAAATATTTTTCAAAATGTTGCTAGGCACAAGGCACGGCGTATGTGTTCAACGTCATCACGTCGGATCTGGGTCTGATCTGATTTCAGTTTTCTGACTCGTTTTGGCTATATGGTTATAGCCATACCAATTCATTTGAGTGTATATTATTGTGTATGTGTGTGTCTGTGTCTGTGTGTGTGTGTGTGTGAGAGAGAGGATGTGTCTGTTTTGCACTCTTGATGTTTTAAAGTTTAACCCTTTCCTTGCTGTCCACTTTTTTTACTGCATCCTAGTTGAGTTATTGCTTTTATTGCACATATTTGCTGTGCTACAGTCACACCAGTTCATAGGTGTATGTGTGTGTTTAAGTGTGTGTGTGTGTGTGTGTGTGTGTGTGAGTGGATGTGTTGGTTTTGCACTCTTGACGTTTTGAGTTTCACCCCGTCATTGCTGTGTACTTTTTTTTTCTGCATTGTGGCAGATTTGTAGATTGTACACACAAAAATTCTCAGAATTTTTTTGTTTTTGTTGATTTCCCATTAATTTCCTATGGTCGGTCATTTTTGACCGAAGACCACAATTGTGACTATTTTGTTTTACGATCACTTAGCCTGCTCGAATCATGCCCTCAATTTTTTTTTGTGTTCACATTCCAAATGCCATAAAAATCACCAAGTTTCGTACCATTGCGATGAAGCTGTTATTTTAAAAAATTCAAAACAGAAAAAAAAATTTTGACCGAAGAGCACCAGAGGGTTATGTTTTAAGTTTATGGCCCACCTAACTCGGAAACTGGAGTATCAAAATAATTTTTTGAGTGGTAAATACGACTTGAGAGGCCGTTCATGTCCAATTTCTGATTAGGAAACTCGTATTTAGGATAATTCCGATAGCACGTGAAGGCAGCATAAGCGCAATATGAGTGCAGGCCAGCGGGGGAGGGGGGACAATCGCGCTCGGGCTTGGTTCAAGACAACCGTGACTAGTACACCCTAAAACTCACAGAGAACTCCCTAGCAACCCCACAACAACACCCTGGTAATTTCTTCAGATTACATAATGTATGTCTAAGTGATGTATGTGAAATCTAGTCCTCAGTGTGGTTTTGGTGATATTTTATGACTTACGATTGGATAAGATATCCAAACAGAACATCATATTTAGCAAATTAATATTTCTGCACTTTAACAGAGCAACAATCATGCCCATTTATACTCTAGACGAAGGACCACAAAATGGACTAATGACATAATTTCCTTTAGCAATCACTCTGTCAGACCACAGCACATGCACCTATTAGAGTGGACAGCCTCCTTTGATTTGTCTCATTTTTGATAATAATACATTAATGGACTGTTATTTAAAAGCACTCACATCTTCTTCTGAGTACAATGGTAAAAACTGTACAGTATAAATAATTTCTCCTCTTTTCCTGCAGTCGCAATCAGCACATGGCACACACCCCATGATTTTGTTTTCTTTTATTTGACCTTCATTAAGCAGGGTGGTCTCTGAGAGGAAAACAAAGGGAATGGGGAAAAGTGACGGGATAATAAAAAGAGAAATGAATGGGCTTTTCAAACCTCAAACACAATCCTGTTCCATATTTCACATTGTTCTTAGTTTTCTTTGAGTTATTTGTTCTCTGTAACCTTGTGCTAACCCTCATTCAAGTGTGATGCATTACTTAACCCCGGGTTGAAAATGGACTTAATTAGTGGTTGACCAATATGGGTTTTTACATGGTCAAAGCCAATGGGATATCTAAAGAACAGGGTGGTTGATGGCTGATAAAGTACAAAATTTATTCACAATTCTAAGGATGCACATATACCGATACTGGTATCGGGCCAATACTGCACTCCTGTACTCGTACTCGTACTCGTAAAAATGCACGGATACTAAAAGCCGATACCACACAGCTTGTGAACAGAGCTGTGTCCAGAAAAAGAAACACCACCAACAGAGAGTAGAATGGAGTTATTAGAGATTAAGGATGTTTATGAAGTACATGCAAGTAATTAATATAATGTTAAACGTTCAATATTCACGCCTGTTTAGCGGATGTGCGCGCGCTGATGAGCAGAGAGCGCTGAGTGGATTGAGTGAGCGGCGGCACAGATGCGCGAGCTTGTCGAGTGAATATCTCACAGACATCAATGGAAAGTTTGTAAATCGGTCGGATATGTCAAAAGCAAGCAAGTAAAACAATGCACAAGTTACTTAAGTTATTTGACGGTAAGGAAAGGGAGAGCGAGAGAGTCAGAGAGTGCACACTTCTGTTGCATGATCTTGATTGCTGTTCGCTCTATAAACGCATGCATTTGGATTAAAACTAAATCGTAAATATAAAACAAACAAATTATAGGGGCATTCACTTTAAACAACATTTATTTTAAACGTCAAGCATACACGATTGAAGCAAAAGTGAAACTAGCAGACTGTGTGTAATGCGCTAGCTATAAGTGTCTCTCTCATTCTGCACCAATGCAAACGTGTGCGCATGTTTAGCTTGCTTTAAAATTATACTTCGGTTTTTACTTGTACGCGAGGGTCCGCGTACAGTGCGTGTGACTTACATCACCAAAATAGTAAGCGCGTACTTGTATAATGTATAACGAGTGGTTCCCTGCATTATTTTAAGAAAAACATTTTGTGATTACAGTATTGAGCTGCTGCAGTGGAGTGCCATTAAAATGAACAGTGAAAGTAACAAAAGCTTATACAATACATTTTAACAGGTATAATTAAGTGTCGAAATAACAAGAAAATATCTGTTTGCTAAATGAAGCCAACTAACATGATTCATATTATTATTATTATTATTATTTTGTCTCTGTACCCAATATTTAAAAAAAAAAATTAAAATGCTGTGAAAATACAGGTATCGGTATCGGTGAGTACCAAAAATGAAAGTATCGGTATCGGACTTGTTCTGAAAAAAGTGGTATCGGTGCATCCCTACACAATTCAAATAACCGAACATTTTTCATTGACCATGCTGACCACTTCTGTTAATCAACCAGCTGTGCACAGTTCTCGATTGATGCCAAAAATATATTTAAAAAAGCCAAATATTGGTAATTTAATCAGCCTAGTGGATAAGATATCTAGCATTAACATGGTTAAAAAAAGATACAGTGCTTAAAGTTTAATAGATTTCAGCTGTTTAAATTCAGAACAGCATCTGAGCAAATAATGTCTACATATGTTCTTTGGTAGAATCACAAATGTTTCTTTTAGAATAATTTTTTTGTTAGTTCATTACCGGCAAGAGACATCTGTTAGTTACACTGCTATGATTCAATCTGTTCATCTTTTGAGCGGCAGTGAAAAAAATAAAAAATAAATAAATATATATATATATATATATATATATATTCTTATACTCAATACATTGAATGCATTAAAACAATAATATTGTGAAATATTATTGCAGTTTAAAATATTTTCAATGTATTTTATAAATGTAATTTATTAATGTGATGCAAAGCTGAATTTTCAGCATGATTACTCCAGTCTTCAGTGTCACATGATCCTTCAGAAATCATTCACATGCAGAATTTGGTACACAATTATTAATAATGTTTTTTAATATAAATGTTGTAAACAGTTCTTGCTGCTTACTGTTTTGGGGGGAATTGTCCACAAAATTACATATAACTACCACCCCCCTCTCTTTTCAACCAATAGGAGCGTCTTTTGCTGTCCCTGTTGCCCGCCCACATTGCGAGGGTGATGAAGGCAGAGATCATTCAGAGACTGAAGGGGCCTAACTTCGGCCAGGCAGAAAACACCAACAACTTTCACAACCTCTACGTACAGAGACACACCAATGTAAGGTAGGACTTGTGACACACATACTAGCATATCCGTGCGCTCAGTTGATTTATTTTAGGCAGCCTAGAAAATATATACATATCCTATACACCGCACCTGCTCTCCGCCAAGCTGTCATACCCTCAGTAGAACCTGTCAAACCATCCTGCCCTCCTTCAGTCTGCACACAAAAAAAAAGCTATTCATCAACCTAGATATATGTAGCTCTCTTTTAAAAGTGCCTAGACACCTTTGTATGCTTCTATTAAAAGTAAAAACAAACACAATCTTCAGCTAAATAGGGCAAACTGTTGAAGAGGCTTTTCATCAAAACGCATTTAATTTAGTTCATTGCATTGAAGGACAAGTAGTTTTCTGTTTTGGAAGCAATATTGCTTTCTACTTCAATATCCTTTTGATCTGTGAGGTTGATTGTTGCTCTGCTCGTTCTCAGTGTAACTTACTGAAGGAAAAAGCGAAGAATATTTTCTTGGCGTCTACATAATGTTTTGTATCTCTAATTCATGATGGATTTCACAGAGCATCTTCCAGGGCAGGCCGTGCAGTGTTACTGAAGGATATTGGCAGTATTAGAGGCGCGTTTCAGGTTCAGCAAAAGTTAAGTTGGATAGCATTTGTGGCATAATGTCAATTACCATAGAAAATATTTTTATTAATATTATTTATTCAACAGTTCTGGTCCTCGAATTTGATCAATTGAGCAGCATTCCAAGAGCACTGATATACAGTCCAACAGCACTTTTAACAGTTTGTATCACTTTGTTTATCTGTGTTTGTTCCAAACAGACAGCCAGTCTGTTAGTGGTGGGGATTTTTAGTGACTCTTTCTGAATTTTACATTGATACACCTGTAGGTGGCGACAAGTCAATGACTTTGACATTGAATCATTAAGTTGAACCAATTCATTGAAAAAACAGATTCATTCAGAAGCAAAATAAGTTACTCTCTTTGTGAGTGAATTATTGAATCATTCACTGATCCATTTATTGAAAAACACAGATTCATACAGGAATGAAACAAGTTAATATTTTTATGAGTGAGACATTGAATAATTCACTCAACTATTAATTGAAAAACACAGATTCATTCGGGAATTAAACGAGTTACTCTCTTTCTGAGTGAGTTGTTGAATAATTCACTCAACGATTCATTGAAAAACGCAGATTCATTCTGGAGCGAAATAAGTTACTCTTTTTGTGAGTGAATTATTCAATTATTCACCCATCCAATTCATTGAAAAACACAGATTTATTCAGGAATGAAACAAGTTACTCTTTTTTATGAATGAGTCGTTGAATAAGTCACCCAATGATTCATTGAAAAGCCAACACGTTCTCTCTCCCATCTTGTCACATATTGATGCTTGGTCAGGACCCCTTGGCGTCACTTTTTAACACACAGGGTACCCCTTTTGTGTCACTTTTCCATGTGCAAGGTACTCCGTTGCTTTCAGTTGTATGCCTAATGCGTCATATCAAGACACATTTAATTCTTTGCATGCATTCGTAAAAATAGAAATAATTTTAAATACATTTATAGTTTCATAGATATTTGAGCACCTAACCCCACCTCTACCCTAAACCTACCCATTTCTCAACAATATAAAACACGTAACAGGCAAATAAAAGTACAGTCACAGGTATTTATTGCAAAAACTGACCAAAAAAGCAGTATAAGAGTATCACAAACAAGTTGTGTTGCATTCCGAGTCTTCTGAAGCCATACAATATCTTTAAGCGAAGAATAGAGTAAAACATAATGTTTTAATCACTGAAAATAATCCCACTCTGTTACGGTTCTTCTGGCGGCAATTTTTGGATTTATGCACAGATGGTGGATGGAGATGGTGATAGTGTCTGTTCCTCGTACAAATCGATTGTTTTGCCTCGGAAGACGTGGAATATTAATACTTCTTGAAAAAATTGTGACTTTAATTGTATCTGCCTTTTATATCCTGTGTTTTATATTGACAAATGGTTAGGTTTAGGGTAGGGGTTGGGTTACATGCTCAAAAATCTGTAAATAGTGTTATGTAAATTAAATTGTTGTGACTGTTTAAATTGAAAATCACACCCCAACATATATGTAATGGTAGCAAAATTATTACCCAATATATAAATTAATCATAACGATAAAATTCTCATGTCCTTGGCATCTGCGTATTGACGCCAAAAGTTTCTTATTTAAAGCAACAGAGTACCCTGCACGTCAAAAAAAATTACGCTAAATGGGTACCCTGTGCGTTAAAAAGTGATGCCAAAGGGTCCTGACCAAAAAAGTTCGGAGTGAGAATGTGTTGGGAAAACACTGATTCATTCAGGAATTAAACAAGTTACTCTTTTTATGTGTAAGCCATTAAATAATTTACTCAACAATTCATTGAGAAACAGATTTATTCATAAATAAAACAAGTTACTCTCTTTATGAGTGAGCCGTTGAATAATTTACTTATCCATTTCATTCAAAAACACAGATTTATTAAAGAACTAAACAAGTTTCTCCTATGAGTGAGTCTTGAATCATTTACTCATCCAATTCATTCAAAAATATAGATTCATTCAGGAGCTAAAGAAGTGATTGTGAGTCATTGAATCTTTCACTCGAGTCAATGATTAATTCAGTAACACCACTACTGAGTGTTGCTCAGAGATGCAAGAGCTGATTCTCCTGTGGCTTTGTTTAGAACTGTTTCCTTTGGCTGAGAAAAATAGACAAAATAACTCTCAATATTATACTAAAATGCAACTACATTTTTAGTTTGTTGAACTGCTGTATAAGTGCAGTATCACAAAATCATGCTGTTGGTCTAAATATCAGCACGGCTGTGTTTTTAAGGATGTTTCAGTACTGGAAAACAAGAAAAATGCTTATTCAGAAAATAATTATTTGCAAGGTGTGCATTAATTGCAGTGCAAAAGCATCATTTCATACTCTTTACCAGTTTGCATAACTCTCCTTTTCTTAAACATTTTAATATTTTCCACAGCATTCTGTATGCAGACATTGTTGGATTCACGCGTCTGGCCAGTGATTGTTCGCCTGGAGAATTGGTCTACATGCTCAATGAGCTTTTCGGCAAATTTGACCAGATAGCCAAGGTATCATATGTCCTAAAAGGCCATATGATATATAGCCCCTGTGACAACTAGACCCAGTCTCTGACATACCTTCACCCTGATATGTTGATTTGATATTAATATTTTTTTCCTGTATAGAATATCATGTCTACTACACCTGCTGTCTTGATGGTTTGTTTGATGCAGGATAACGACTGCATGCGGATCAAGATCCTGGGCGACTGCTATTACTGTGTGTCAGGGCTGCCAGACCCTCTGACTGATCACGCCAAGGACTGTGTGAAGATGGGGCTGGACATGTGTGAGGCCATCAAGTAAAAGAGCACGCTGTCTTTCTCAAACTAGATTATAATTGGTCCATCACAGCAATCTGCACTAAAATATGTTTGCATAATAACCACTAAACTGTATAATTGACTTTTGTCACAGGAAATTTCCGTTTCCTACATAGCTGTGGTAGTTTAAATGTCTGTGCAAACACGGTGTAAAATTCAGTCTTAATAGGCAATTTTAACCTAAATATAATTGGCTTACAATGCCGTATGGTTGCCTGAGGTTGCCAGCCTGCGGAACACCTGCTGGGCGTCCCATAAGCCAGTGCCTATCAGGATTTATTTTGAGATAATGACCAGCTGATTGTACATTATCCATTTTCCATTTCTTCATTAGAACAAAAAGACCCCTAGAGTTATATCTGCTTCAAAGTCCTAAAACCATTACACATGAGCTGTTTGTCACATTACACCCTTTCATCATCTACAAAACACCATTTCTGTGTCCTTTTTTTCCCCATGGTGTCTGTCTTTTCAAGCACTACTCTCGGAGGCTGAAATAACCCTCATACTCATGAGGCTCAGATGTGTGATATTGTTGAAACCCACACATTCTCCTTTTCGTCTCTTTCTCCATCTCAAAGTGCAGCCCCTTTTTCCAGTCCCTTTTACGATTCCTCACCCATTCTTCATTCTTCCGCTCTTCTGCCACACATTTGCTTTCCGTTACACTACTGCAATCTTTTTCTTTCACACACACACAAATCCATTTTAGGGGGTAATTGAGAACCCTCCAGTGTATTTTCCAACATGACATAGCTCAGGCTGAGGGGCTCCTAGAAATAAGAATGGTGTGTGACAGATACAATGGAATGATCTGTGAGAGAAACGAACACTCCTCCAGGGGTGCCATGTACTTTGTTTGTTTGTTTTGAGGCAGCACCAGTGGCTGGGCTGGTTTTGTTTTGTATTGTTTAGTTTTGATTTTTGTTTTGTTTTGAGGGAGCACCAGTGGCTGTTTTTTGTTTTTTTGTTTTTTGTTTTGTTTTGAGGGAGCACCATTGGCTACTTTTTGTTTTTAGTTTTTGTTTTTTTTATTTGAGGGAGCACCAGTGGCTGCTTTTTGTTTTGTTTTGAGGAAGCACCCGTGTTTTTTGCCGGGGGGGGTGCTCGGTGCTCCCTCAAAACAAAATAAAACAAAACAAAAAGCAGCCACTGGTGCTCCCTCAAAACAAAAAGCAGCCACTGGTGCTCCCTCAAAGCAATTTAATTAGTTTTTGTTTTGTTTTGCTTTGAGGGAGCACCAGTGGCTGCTTTTTGTTTTGTTTTGTTTTGAGGGAGCACCCTTGTTTTTTGCGTACTTGTTTTTTGTTTTGACACTTTTTTTGGGGGGGTTAAGCAATTTAATACTGGTCCACAAACTAGAATAGCACCAAACTAGCTTAATCCATCCTGCATAGAAAAAAAATCATGCTGATCTAGACTGTTTTGTGCAGCAGGGACATGTTAACATTCAAACTGGCTTATCTGAAACACAAGATGATACATTCTGTGTGCTGAATGAATATATACACAGGCACCAGACACACTTCCTCATAAACCATGTACTGCCGCAATCATGGCACCTTCTGATATTTACTTTGCTATAAATATTTCTGGTGTTAAGCCGTTATGTCAGTGAAATATGGTGCTGTTTCAGTAATTTCAAAGGATGGAGGGAGAGCCTGAAGTGTGTACATGCTGTAAAAGAAATATCTTTCATGAGACTGGAAGAAAACTTGCCTTATTTGCATACAATAGTAGTATAAAATCCATCAAGAGTACCCAAACTTGTTTCTTATGATTTTTCAATCTAAAGGCCTTTCAATCTAAATTATTTCTTATGACTTTCAATCTAAAGGTTTATGTTTAAAATTGGTTTAGTAGACAAATATTAATTGTGCCTTCACATACATTTCTTTCAAAACTTTGTAATAAAAAGTACTTTTTAAGTATATTTTTTATATACTTTTAAGACTATTTTAATACATTTTAATTCTGACACTTGATTAAAATGCATTTGGAATTAATTACATGCTGATTAAATAATAATATGCTGATTAATTAATCAAATTGGTCACAACGAGTTACATAAGCACATATTTGAATTACATAAATATTCATATTACACTATAGTGGCAACTAATGTTTTTTTAATAAATAACGTTTTTTTTGTATTATTATTATTTCAAAATTTAGAATAAACAAAATAGTAAACAATGAGCATATTTACTTGTTATTTCAGGAAGGTGAGAGATGCTACCGGAGTTGACATTAGCATGCGTGTTGGAGTGCACTCTGGGAATGTTCTCTGCGGTGTGATTGGCCTCCAGAAATGGCAGTATGATGTTTGGTCACATGACGTCACCCTGGCCAATCACATGGAGGCGGGGGGTGTACCTGGGTAAGATCAGCATATGACTTTTGTTTTTCCCCATTTCATGATTTTCACATATTTGCCACAAGTGCTATTATGCTCATGGAGGGTTCTTGACGTTAATAGAAATGCTCTGTTGAGAGCACAGTGAATGTGCTTTTGTGCTACTAATGAGTGTTCGTTGAATAACCCAAAAAATAACAGAAACTCAAAGCACTACATTCATTTTTCATATCTCGACTCTATTGTCTCTGTGGGCATTGGAACATTTATGAAATACTCACATAATGCACCTGTTTTTGTGAAGTGTTCTTTCATTTGCCAGCCTGTAATAGTTGTGTGCTCCTCTCCAGACGGGTTCACATCTCTTCTGTGACACTGGAACATTTGAAAGGAGCTTATCAAGTCGAGCCAGGCAATGGACAAAGCAGAGATTCCTACCTGAAAGAGCACGGCATCATCACGTACCTAATAATCAACCCGAAGGTAAAAAATGACGCAGTCCTGCTTCTACATTTATAAATAACTAGACATTTACATTTTCTGAAGAAAACAGTGTTGCTTTGTGTTTGCTAGAGGTTTCATACTGGCCCAAATCATGTTAGGAGTTTATAACAAACATCAGCTATGATAATTATTGTGGAAACAATAAAACTATTTTTTAAATAAACAACATAATTATAAATAACAATAATGTCTGTTTATTACCCAGAAAATTAGTTAAACAAAAGTATTAATCATAGCCGAACCAACACCTGCTGTATGATAGTTCATAAATCATATCATAATGTGTCTAGTTATGCAACTTGAGCTTTTCAAATTAGCATTGCATTCAATTCACCTTGAGGACTAATTAGCATAATTACACTATTTAGACTGTGCGGTTACAAAAACCTGTCGTTGTGGTCATATTTGACAACCCTGGGGAGAGTGTTTGTCAAAACACAAGTTCAAGGAAACGGGCATCAAGACCTAGAAGATTCCTGAACATCCGTCCATTCAGATGTGTGTGGGCTTTTCAGCCCACAGATATCATAATGCCTGGCACCATATATTCAAATAACAACGCCTATTCTTTTATTTATCCGGTGCCTTATTTACTTTTCAACAATGCATTTGCTTTGCCCGAGGTAACAAAAGCAGCAAATTTTTCTCTGAAGAGACTCATACATTTATTTCTGTTCAGTTTGAGCCTTTCGGCCCTCTTATCATAACAGCCCACTGCACACCCACTCCCTCCACACTGCCATTATGATGACTGCATTTGAGTTTGGAGGGCTTTTGCTTGTTTATTTAGTTGTTCTCTTTTCTTTTATCACCCTGTTGTTCAGTTAATGCCAATTTGCATTTTTTGTTTTATTCTAATGAATGACTGTCATCGAGTCAAGTTGCTGTAAAGCAGACCATACAGATTTGAGGGAGCCACGGTTATCTTTCTATACTATAGCAGAGGTTTTCTATCGTTTGGTGTCAAGCACCCTCAAATATGACAAACCTCTTGCAAGAGACCCTTTTCCTAAAATACATATTAATTCATGTGTAAAGCAGCTTTTTACATGAATGAATATGTATTTTAAGAAGCCCCCCCGTTTTATATATTTTCATGTATAAAAGCCTATTTATATATGATATGAAATGTGAATACAACACGCTGTTTTCTCTCAAATTTAATTAAATTTTTATTTCAATTTAATGTAATAAATCATTTATTTTATCTTAAATTATTTAAATAATAAATTTATTTTATTTTTTTATTTTTTTATTTCATTAATAATCCTATGTACCTGTGTGCTACTGGTGGGCACTGTGGGCACGTGCCTGCCCCCTCAGATTTTTGAGCCAAGTGGATTTTGAATGCAGCTTCCAAAAGACAAAAAAATAGTAGAATAATATTTTTTATATTTCATACAATCGCACTGGCGTTATTAGAACGTGCAGTGCGGCACAGCATCGGCTGCTAAATTCAAATCAGCGTTCGCGCTTTGGCTGGCGCTGAGCCAGAGACAGACGCGTTTTTACAGCTGCACATTGTAACAAAACACCCTTCACTCGTGCCCCCTAAAAAAAACCAGTGCAAAACGCCCCTGAATAAGATTATTTCAAGAAAATCTGCTTACAATCAAAGTAGGTTATACTGAATGAACATGTTAATCAATTAATCCAGTTTTAGGACCTTATTTGATTTTTATCAGATTCTTGGAATGCTTGTGTTTGATTCCATAACGATCTTTTACAGTTGGTTCTAAAATCATGATAGAAATCCAGTCCTGTACAACAGTGGCTTTGGAAGTGGTTTTGCTTCAGGACCCAGATATTATATTGGACATCAAGTAGGGACTTGACACAGTACCAAAATTGTTTAGGATCCCAAAGTACACAGAAATATCTTGAATATCCGTATCAGATCACGTAATACACTTGAATCAAGAATGTATTATAAAACACATCTGTGACCCACCACTTCAGTACATATTCTTGTTTGTTTTTTTGGATTTTTGTGCTGTTATATCCATTTAGACTCGTACTTCATGCTGTGTTTGTACTTCATGCTTAGGCAGAAAAACGGAGTCCCCCACTACCTGCTCGGCTTCGTCCCACTCTGGATGGGGCCAAGATGAGGGCGTCTGTCCGCATGACGCAGTACCTCTCCTATGTACCTGTGTGCTACTGGTGGGCACTGTGGGCATGTGCCTGCCCCCTCAGATTTTTGAGCCAAGTGGATTTTGAATGCAGCTTCCAAAAGACAAAAAAATAGTAGAATAATATTTTTTATATTTCATACAATCGCACTGGCGTTATTAGAACGTGCAGTGCGGCACAGCATCGGCTGCTAAATTCAACACTATTACACTATTAGGCTACTTTGCCCATCACCCATTATAGATCAACTAACATAATATATAAAGGTGCAAATTGCATCTACTTACACATATTTGAGAATTATCCATTTAGACTCGTACTTCATGCTGTGTTTGTACTTCATGCTTAGGCAGAAAAACGGAGTCCCCCACTACCTGCTCGGCTTCGTCCCACTCTGGATGGGGCCAAGATGAGGGCGTCTGTCCGCATGCCGCAGTACCTCGAGTCCTGGGGAGCAGCCAAACCGTTTGCTAACCTCCACCATCGAGACAGCATGACCAACGAGAACGGCAAGATCAACACACACGTGAGTCAACCTGAGCACACACGCAAAAAGTACAGTCATTCTGATGGAAGATTTAAATGGTGATTACTGTCATCAGGACTAGTTTGTACTTGAATAAGTACTTAATAGTGCTCTATTAATTACATTTGTACATCTTTTTTCTTACAGGATGTGCCATTAGGGCAGTACAGCTTTCAGCAAAGGTCTGAAAGGTCTGTTTTTTGACTGTTTATTGCTTTATATAACACAAAAAAAGCAAAAATCTAAATTCAAGTGAATAACCTTTCAGAACATTCACACTGACCTCATTTACATTTCCATGGTTGTTTAAAGTCTCTCTCCCTCTTTTTTCTTCCCTTTCAGAACAAAATCGCAGAAAAAGAGATTTGAAGAGGAGTTGAACGAAAGAATCATTCGCACTATTGATGGCATTAACTCACAGAGGTATGCATCCATAATGCTTTGCATCTTATCCATAATGAGTAATTCATGAATTGCTAAATAGCTAAATGTTAACAAGGATCAAGTCTGACCTCGCAATGGGATTCAAAATCTTATTTAAATTAGCAAAAAAAGAAAGTTTTTTGATTTAGAAAAATGTAAATATATATATATATATATATATACA